TTACGTATCAATCGTGATGGTGAGTGGACATGTTGTCCGCGGCTTTCTCGGTGCATGCCATATCGCCTATCTGCAGAAGGAACATCGTCACCGTCATTGAAACTCATTGGTCCTCTCTCAATGGGGCTGCCGGACCCATGTTGTGGTGGAGCATCATCCTGACCATACTCAAATGCCCCATTTGCCCGTGTATTGGTGAACGCGCAATAATACAAATCGTAATCCAACAAGGGCTTCCTCCTCGCCCTTTCAACTTCGGGATGGCTCTGTAAATGGAGCAACAAATATTAATACAATTAGGAAATGGTTCTCTCACATACGTATTCAATATAAAATTCAGAAGTCGAATATGATTACAAAAAAGTGGAACAAGTGATTTAAAGAAAAAAGAAATCCCCATACGAAGAAATCCTAACATGGGGGTGAGGGCTAAATGTTCATGATTCGAACTACTAGTTTTTCATTTCAGGGGCTTTTTTCAGCATGTATATTGGAGACACACCTGTGTCAGAGCAAACAAAAGAAGAAATAGGAAGAAATGTGGCTAATATAATTAGAAGGTGCTGAGAAAGTCCATGTCTGGTCTCCACGGCCTCACTATTCAAATGGGCTAGTGGTTGCTAATTCTATACTATTAAGGTTAATGAAATCACAGAAGAAAAGAAAAAAAAATAAAAACACCAAAAATCTCAATGCAAAAACTGCATTTATACTTTCGGATGTATTCATTATCCCAAAAAAGAAGTTTATGCTAAAGGAAGAGAAACAAAAATACCACTTTGGACAAACATTTATGCCATGGAAGTGAAAGAGTATAAACATGTCTTTTACTAAAGAGTAAAAAAAAAATCGTAAGTGACATAAATGTAAGAAAGTCCCAATCTACCGTTTTTATGGAATAAAGGGGCATAAATCCTAACATTAAACTAAGGTTGAGTTTTTTATATGGCAAACCAAAAACCATAGCCCAACGAAACACCCTCACATGGTAAACTCTTACACAAATGCACTCCCCTTGTGAGGCCTATAATCTTTGGTGCTCGAGACATCTCTCAAGCAATGGAGCTGTTTCAATGGCAAAAATGTAAAAGAAGTAGAAACTTACACTGATAAATTGTTGCCAATACTCGTCAGTGCAGGTGGGTTTCTTCTAAATCGGATCCCATCCAAGTCCGGTGGCAGTACGAAGTAGAAACTCAGTATCAAATGTTTTCTTCAGTCTACTAGCTTTTTGTTTGACTTTGTCCCAAGTTAGGGGGACGATAAAATGCTCACTTAGCTCTGCCGCCCATTGTGTGTATTTGTCTCGGTGCGGGGTGGTACCGACAGAGTTCAATAAATTGAACTCACCTATACGTCTAAGCAGTTGTTCTTTAGCTTGTGGACTCCAATTTACATCTCTATCTCTCGTTCTCGCCATCTAAGTATTGACAATACCAATATGGCAACAATACGTATGTACGTACCATACAAAATTCATTTAATGAGGTCGGATGTTGGAAGGAGGCTCAGATTTGTGTAAAGGCCCTCATCGTCCTATTATGGAGCATTATCCTAGGCTAGGACAATTAGGCTACCAAGGTTTAAGTTCAATTAATCTTAGTGGTAGGTTTGCAATACACTTTAAACCCGAACTAAACGAACATTATGCCATGAGGTTATGCATAAACCGGCAACCAATATGCTACCAAAGTCATAGCTAACCTCGGCATATTGCTCAAGCAAGGATTCAAAGTAAATTAAAGCAACTATACCAACCAAGAGTAATGGAATCAACCGGCAACCAATTAGTAACCAGCCATCGAATATCACTCGACATAAGGAACTAGGCCATTAAATACAATTACATCGTCATAGTCACGGTAAAATGCAATCTAGAAACTGAAAAAACCAGAAACAGTTTCTGGTTTTTTTCCAGAAACTGCACAGCAGGGGTTCCAAATATACATATGAGAACAATATTCAAAAGTTTGCCAATCATCATGTAAGTATATAACAGTAGATTCTGGAGAACATTCTTAACAGATGAACAAGGTTTGTATACTTATTGCCAAAGAAAAATGGACGTCCGAATGAGGGGACTTACTTATAAGCTATAATACTTATTGGTAGAAATTATTTTTCCTACACTTACAATTAATTTCTTTTCATTATCACATAAACGCAACAGTAAAGGAAAGTATGAGCACTTTGGTTGCTGGACATTGTGATCTAGTTGAAGAAAATAAACCGAAAGTTAGCAGCTAAATTAAAAATACTCTCAACAATACTAAGACACCATCACTCTGGCCAAACAAAATCTGGGTTCAAAGTGTCAATGCCTAACCAAGACCTGTGAGGTACTAAGAACATATAATTGAAGAGCAGACAAAGGTCTCTCTTTTTTGTTTGACTGTTTTTTTTTTCTCGGCTTTGCTTGGTTTTTGCTTAAAACCAGCAACCTTAAAATGCATAGCTCCTGAATCAAAAACAAAAATTGAAGAAACTATTTTGAGGTTCTAAAATATATCTCAAAGGCTCACATCAAGTAATGGTTGATACATTCCGTTTACAAGGTGTGAGACAAATAAACCATTATCCAGAAAATATTCAGCAACTCGTCAAACTTCTTGAACAAGAAGAAAATTGAGAAAGAGCAGCAATCCATTCACGGAAAACCTTAAAAGCAACTCCTCAACATCGTCCTTTTTGGGGCTTTTTCAATTTTTTTTTTTTTTTTTGTTACCATGGGGAAAGTGTGGTGGCGGAGGAGATGAGCAAGCAACTTGGAAGGAATTAAACGCAGGATTAGAGTGCTTACCGAGTTGGAGCCTACAGAGGAGTGCGTTTGATCTGCTCTGAGATTCCCAAAACACGAAGACTGTTGTCTCTGAGTCAGGTACCGGCGACGACAATGGAGGGGGAAGTAGGACAATCGTCGGCACAGGAAAGCACTACGTCGAGATTCTTTCCTTCTACATCGAGCTAGGATTGTTGCCCAAGGAGGTTGCCGAAGAGATCGATTTATACCCCTGAAGCTCTCCGTCTTGAACGGAGGCCAGGCGGCAGAAGATGAGGGGTGAATTTTGGGGCTAGGGTTTCTCTATCTCTGATTGAGGGAAAGACAGCAGAACTCAGGGAGCATTTGGAGTTATGGGTATAGGGCAGAATTGAAGCGAGTGTTGAAGCTTGAACGAGTGAGCTATGGTCAAAAGGTAGAGAACCAAATGGAATCTCTCTGTAGAAGCACGTGAAGTAGCAGTTCTGGCGTGTTAGAGCGAACAGAGATGGACGAAGCACGCAACAGTCATATTACCCAGGAATCTTCACTGTAGAAAGACAGAGAAGTAAATTCGAATTGTAGTGGGAAGGTGAACTCGAATAAGGCAGGTTAATCGAATTAATTTTTGAGTTGAGTTTTGAGTGTCGTTTGGAGTTATCACGCGTCGAACGCAGATTTGAGTAAAAGTTACACTCGAGCAGGCCTTTTTTGAGTAAAGTTGGGCAACCGAACAAGCCCTATAACTATTAGATGAGCCTTAAACTTGACATCTTATTAAGTTCGAGTTGCACAAGACATTAAACTTATGTATGATATAAATAATAATAATAATAATAATTGTTAGTATCGGTTTAAATCATTTTACCAAATTCGTTACAACAAATCAACGAAAAATTTAAAATAGTAAAAACATACAGGAAGTTAGTATCGTTGTTCGGTAATTACCCACTTTGAGGGGTCACGTCCAAATGATAAACAATCCACTAAGAACTTAAGGTTACAATTCAATTGGACTTAGGCTCCTCAAGACTCCCTCTCAAGACAAGACATCTATGAACTGTAACTTTTTAACAAATTTGCTCAGTGTGATCCCCTCGACATACAACGTTGAAACCCTTTCCCTCGACTTACAACGTTGAAACCCTTTCCCTCGACTTACAACGTTGAAGTCCTTTCCCTCGACTTACTACGTTGAAATCTTTTCCCTCGATTTACAACGTTGAAATCCTTTCCCTCGAATTACAACGTTGAAATCCTTTTCCTCGACTTACAACGTTGAAATCCTTTCCCTCGACTTACAGCGTTGAAATCCTTTCAACAAAGTTTCTCTCCCAAAAAACTAAAAACCCTTCTCTCGAAGAAATAAGAAAATTAATTGCTCACCCCATTCTCTCAATTTCTGAAACTCATGCCCCATTCATTTCGCTGATTCGAGTTTAGAATTCGAGTTTTGTTACAGTAAAAAGCTCTCAGAAACAGTCACATCTAACTTTTTTGTTACAGTAAAAAACTCTCTCACAACATCACATCTCAATTCGAATTAAAAACTCGAATTAACGAACTGAACGGGCCCTCAGACTCCAAAGGCCTACTGAGATTGTTGTGAGGCTCCAATTAAATAGCCAAAACTGCCAGCTGTAAGAATCATTAATGCAATCCACAAATTTCAATCTGTTGCAACAAATTCTACAGATCTGTAAAATCTGGTCTAAAGTCAATTTCTACAGATTTTGGATATTTCTCCATAAATACAGTATCATTCTTGCAGAACACTCTATAAATCTGGACGTTATTGTACAGTAGAGCAGAATCCTCTTAACAAATTAACCAACTCACCAAATTCTAACTTTCCAAAAACACAAAGAAGTTGACTCCAAATCAATTAACATTGATCAATTTGAAACAGTTTCCCAAAGTATTTGCTGCAGAACACATTTTCCTTAATTCAATCTAACAAATCCACGTTACCAAAACAGTCACAATTTGAAGATCCCATCTCTTCAATGAGGAAACCTGCAGCAAATTAATCACAACACTCCCAAACAATCCAAATCTGCAAACATTCCAAAATAATACCAATCTCCATATTATGCAATAAAGCTGAAAATCCCACCAACAATAATAATAATAGTAATAATAATAATAATAACAGCAACAACAATAACCGCAATAATAATAATAATAATAATAATAATAATAATAATAACTAGATACAAGGAAGCTTAAAAGTACAGCCGCCGCTGAAAAATGATCTCCAATTTAATTTTTTTTTTATACACAATCATACGGCAGAAATTAGAAAACAGCTAACTTATTATAGACCATAAAAAATGTCCTAGACTTCCTTTTTATTCTATTACACCGGTTATTCAAGTTGGTGACGGATACAAGTAGTGATGGGATCATCCGAGGAGTTTTCTCAGCTAATATATATGGGGACTCCAAAGTTTTCGTTAGTTTCTTGGCATCCAAACAGTCCTTGCCCTCAAAATTTGAGACCCATTTTCAACAAGACGAAGAGTGTGGTCCATCTCAATTTCCCTATCATCATCAGTTTCAGTTTCATGAGTTTCTCTGGCCAATGCACACAATGACTGCAATGAACTGTTCTTCCCACACTCCTTTCGGAACTCCAACCTCATTGCGCTCAGCTTGTGTGTCTCCACTACTGATTCAGGAGCATTCTGACATTTATCATCACCACTATTATTTTAGACAATATTTTCTCTTCCAAAAAAAAAAAAATCTATGCAGTTTTGGCTCAGTTATAGAACAAGTTTTTCTTTTTTTTTATATCGTACGGTGCATTTTTCTTAACACAGATGCTAAATTAAACTTGCTCTACAGTAAGACAAATAGATTTTTCATATTCCAGTTGATTGAGAAAATATAAGACGCAGTATACATATACCTCGAGAATCCAATCAATATACTTCACATGGTTCACATGCTGATTGACATCCAGATCAGTCCAATTGGACTGCAATAGATTCTATAAAGATCATTTTACTTTTTAGTACAGAAACCAAATATTATTGCAAATACGTAACTTATACGAATCATGTTACAAATACACGTACATACCAATAAGCCTGTTCGGATATAATCTGCTGTGTCAAAATCCAAGTCCCTTAGCTTTCTACAATCCTGCTCAATTATTGGATCACAATGATCCATAAACATGCCTTTAGTCTCCTCTCTGGTTTCTTGTATGAACTTGGACAATTTTCTTGTCTTCTTATTCAGCATCACATACACACTGTAAAATAAACCACCACATATAATTAAAACATACATATATTTATATATGAATATATATTTGATGACAAAGTATATATTTATTAGTAAGAAGTTAATCTTAACCAGACTGCTCGAAGCAGAGTTTTGCCAGTGTTGTAATCACGGACAAGCCAGTCTCGGCGAGCTCCGTGCCTTCCTGATGCACAAGACCAGGTCTCAACTTGAACAATATCACCCCTTTCACAAGATATGTATATATCATATACCAACAAAACAAGTTCAGTACTACCAACTTTTGATCTGCTTCTTTGTTTAAGAGAATAAACATGAGGTAGGATATAAAATATACTACTTATATTTAATCTAACGGCTAGTCATATGTATTGTATCATTTCAGTATTTGTGTAAAGGTAACATAAATTTGAGTCATATACTATAATGAACCACCCCAGTTAACATGTTAATCTTTTAAGATGGCAGTTAAAGTCCTAGCCCTTAAATAGTCCAATTTATATTAATTTTTCATGTCTTACCATTGAATTTTTCAGCCAAAAAAAAAAAGTCAAACATTTTCTTACGTAAGTCTGGTAATCTTTTTACTTGGCAATATTTGTACCCTTCATATTGTTGACATTAAAGGTTATCATATAGTTAATTATATACAAAACTAGTTTTGAAGACAGGTTTACCATGAAGAATAGCTATCTATCACAATCTGCATACTAAGGACAACCCATATCAGATTCCTTTTGCTCATCTCCGGAGTTGAACCGAATCCCTCCGCCACGAGCACCACACTTTTGAAGTGGTTCAGCGCAGATTCCTTCGCAAATTACGTACCATGAAATTAAAGAATTGGTATAGTAATTAAGGGGTTTTTTTTATGATCATATATAACTCATGTATGGCTGATTCAAATGATCGTGTTCCGTAAAACAGGATCATTAACTAATGATAATTACCTGTAAAAGATTAACTAAGGCTCCAACGGATATTTTGCTATCGGGGCCTAACTCGTATGATCTAATCAAGAAATGTTGCTGGAAAACACGCCCACCCTTGAACAATCTTCCGCTGAATATGTCAACATGATTAACAGTATTCTCATCAACTTTCCCAGCTTGTTTCCAACAAAAAAGTTCCAGTTTATTCATAGCTGCAATTATAAAAGTACGTGTTAGAAAAAGGCAAGAACCAGTCAGAAATGTTCTATGTAATCTCTTCTTCATAGATATACAAGATTAATATACTTTAGACCTTTGTTAAGCTTGATCAGATTCTCGGCAGCAACATTGGCCAGCTTTATCTTCAAGCGACCAGTATGATTGTTCAAGTTTGGTTTCATGTTTCCAGTAGTACTGTTGCTTATTCTTTGTGAAATACACATTTCTTGTTTGTTCAAAATGGAGGATCTTGGAGCAGCCAAATGCAGTGCCATGGTGTTATAATTATGTACACAGTAGAGAGAACTTTAAGAAAAATATCCTTTCTAATAGTGTACTCCTTATAAAAAGGCTAAATAATAATGCCGTGCTGAAAAAAAAATAAAAAATAAAAACCTTCAAACTTAGTTATGATACATAGGGATATGCATGTATAAAGTGAAGGTGACGTTCTAAAGGGAATGGGATAAAGTAGTTGATATGAACGTAAAAACAAAGTGAATTATGATGAAGGGTCATGTCGTGAGTCTCGTAGACGTATCGAATGAGTCATGCAAATGGGACGAATGAGAGACATGACCTGAAAAAAAGTTTGAAACGCATATGATCACCCGGGGGTCAACACACTCAATCATATATACAAGTGATCATGATCAGGACATGATTTTTAGCCATTCATGAACCTGGCCATATATATATATATATATATATATATAAATTTTTAATGGTTACGTTTACTAAATATAGAAATTCAATGGCACGGCGTGATAAGAATTTAATATTAACTATCTAATTTATTACAACCGTCAGATTAATATCTTACGATTAAAACAGTAAAACCTATTGATAGAAAAATATTAAAGTAACTATTAAAATCACACAATATATATATACATATATATATATATATCTTGGCCTTTTGGAGATTAATATAAATAAGGAAATAAATTAAATGCATGTTATCAAGGTTAGAAGTTACAATCTAACATAAACCAAAATGAAATTCAGAAAGTAAAACGTACTACGTATGCATGAAATTAAAAAGGATGTATAATAGTTGTGTATATATGCAGTTTCTTACTAGCTAGCTATGATTGTATGTATATACATATATATTTATATAAAAATATATTTGGACATAATAATTAGTATGATTCTGATATAGTTAGAGAAATGAATTAGCAAGGATCGGGAAGAACAAGAGAGCTAGAAGGAAGGGAGCTAGATATGAAGAGAAATGCTTACCTGGTTGTGAAATTGTGAGAAAATACTCATTTGAGGCTTGCTTATATAGACGTGTTGAGAGGGAAAAAAAGGTACTTATTGTCCGGTATGAAACTAATTATAAAACATAGAGTTTTCAAATGTTTTACGTCTGCAAGAAATGGGTTTTTAAATTTCTTAGTCGTATCGTGTCTGAACTCATGAATTAGCATAGTCTATATATGTATTTATATATTAACATATATATTACATACACTTAGTTGTCGTGTTATGCCCAATTATAAACCTCATTTAGTACTAATTCACATGCACGCATCTCTTCCAAGAAACTTGATCTCTTGAGCAACCGTCTCCTAATTATCAGAGATTTACAGAATAAAAAATAATAATCCATTAAACGTGCTAGGCATGGTTTTTTTTTTAATATTAATTATTTTTCATTATTGGTTACATCATCGAGAATAAATCTACATTTTATCCTAATCAAACAGAAAAAAGGGGACAGTTGTCCTGATCATAAACAATCTGTATGATATATGTTTGATTATCGTTTAATGTCTTTTTAAAAAATGATGAATTCATATCATATTATAGTTTATATATATATATATATATATCAACATTGATTTTGCTTTTAGAGATTTGATCAGCAATAAAGAGGTAATCTGAACACAGACTTTTGCATAACTATGATCTGGTGGCGCTGCACTCCTGACCACTACATTATAATGTATGGTTCCTGTCCAAATTGTACGCATTCGATAAGCAGCCACACATACGCCAATACAAGATTTTTTTTTTTTTTTTGTATAAAACAAAATTATAAAAAAATCATATTAATTTAGTGGAATATTCTGAATTTTTACATATATGAGTTGATAAGGCTAGCTGCATGAAAAATGAGAAAAAGGTCGATACGGATTGGTATAAGCAAAAAAAAAAAAAAAAAAAAAAAAAAAAAAAAAAAAAAAAAAACCACAAGAAATTGATAAAGATAAAGCCTCTTATTTTAAAACACATGATCATTTTATACTATTCGAAAAATTGTCTCGTCTATTTTTAATATATTCCAAGCTCTAAAATTATCTATTTTATCATATCACTTTGAGTCTAGGATCGCCAGATGCTCCTCTTAACTTTCTAGAGAGGATATATTTCAGGTGAAGCAAATCCTATATGTGAATGAATAAAAAAAAAATCCTATGTGTGAATAATCAAAGATATAATATATATATATATATATATATATAATATATATTATATTTATTTCAATCAACAGCTAGTTCTTTGCAGTGTGCAATGAATGCAGAATCACAGCAGTCATAAACCGGGATATATACACATGCTATTTTGTTTGCCTAAAATTTTAACAATGTGCTAAGTCATTCTTAACAATCGCAGAGTTATTTTTATTTTATCCTATAAACTTTAAAATTTCCACTTTGTTCATGAATTTTAAATTTATCCCACAATTTTTTTTTTTTATTAATTTTCGTTAAGAACATACTGAAAAAAAAGGGAAGTAATCTTACTTAAATTCTACCGTATGAGATTAAATGAGACTAACTAAAAATTCAGAGACATAAGGTACGAAAGATTTTAAATTTTAGGAGACAAAGTGAAAATGACCTTAATATTAATCCTTAAGAATTTGTCGGTCACAACGCATCGTTTTATTTTATTATCATGCTAAAACATATACTCAAACGACGTGTTGTCTACTTATGAAAAACGACTTCCTATTATGTTGTCGTTTAATCCGAAAATGTGGAATGAAGTGTCGTTCGTTGTCTTATTTTTGCATTTGTTTAAGGATTAAATTAAAACAACATGTCGTTCATCTTTTAAAATTTGTTGTAACCGGTACTCCAAAGGATGTGTTGCCGTTGTTATACTTGTTTTATGAATTAAATGTCAAAACAACATGTTGTCTCAGCGGGGGAAAAAAAATCTACATTTTTTGTGTTGCTCGACCAAAAAAAAAAAAAAACAACAAAAGTTGACACTGTTTCCTCTTTTTTTTTTTGTTTTTTTTGTTTTTTGGAAGTCTGGAGTGAAAATAACCCCTTTTAAGGTTCTAGCGCATACCACATAGCATATGATTAATTGAGTAGCAGTTTCAGAGAAAAAATAATAATTTTGAGATTATACTTATATTTTTGATGTGTTTAATGTTATATCTTCAAATTTTAAATTAATGTTAGATCATTATAGGTGAATTTACCATTTACAGCGTATGGCTAAACCTATAACCAAATACTAATTGACAATTTTACTTTTGAAGATTATTGTGTATACATTTTTTCACTTTCTTATTTTATTTTCTTACAACGTCTAATTAGATTTGGTTACAAGTTTATCCATGAACTAGAATGGATTATTGAGGATCAACTGTTGACCTGAAAAGGTAATAAATTTAACAATAAAACTTCCATGTAGCAAAAAAAATCTAAATTTTTTTAATATGGAAAAAAATCGAAATTCATGTGTATAATTTTGAGCACTTTAATATTTTTTGGAAACTCAAATTGTATGATATGAAATTGTTAAAAAAAAAACTGAAAAGAATAAATTAAAAAGGTCACATTGGTCTTACACGCAATAAGGCTACATATATATAGGGCAAGGTCTCCCTGACCAGAACGACACTTGTACATTTTTGTATGAAGTGTGTATATTTATATGTGAGTTGTGTATATATTTACATGTAAAGATGTATATGTTAAGTTATAAGAAACGACAATGTATATTAATCCTTGAAACATGTATATTTTATAGTAATTAAGTGAATATATAGCATAAAAATATGTATATTGACTGATTTGTTATATTTCATGTTAATGAACGTAAGCGACAATGTATATTAATTACAGAAACATGTATTTTTTATAACAATTAAGTGAACACATATGGAAATAAGATGTATATTGGCTGATTTGTTGAATTTCATGTTATTGAATGTCATTTGGAAGTTTTTTTTTTTTTTTTTTACGTTATGCTGTAGGAAACGACAACATACATGTATTTTTTATTTAAATTAAGTGAACATATAACATAGTAATATGTATATTGATTGAACTTGATTTGGAAGTTATTTTTGCTTGAAAAAGTCTTTAGTCATTTGAAGATTGAAAAAGTTATTTTTGCGCCGTTGAGGCGCGCCATTTTTTTTCCCGGATATAATGTGAGGTAATATTTGGCAAAATGTAATAATAATTAGTAGTAATAAAACTGCAAAACAAATGAAGCGTTGGGAATCGGTTCTAAGATGGAAGAGAAAACCTTCCGCGCGTTTGGACCGAGAAGCCCAACGTTTAGAAAATGAAAATAGGAAAATATAAACGAGTTTTAATTGTTTTTAGAAAGTGTGAATTTTTAAGAGAAAGAGAAAAAACATTTTCAGTTTTATTTTTGGTTGGATGCTACTCCAAACGTAATCTTCAGACTGTTTTCATTTTTTACTCCTCGAAAAATGTGAAAAACATTTTCAAAATGGATTGCGCTGAATGTTGGAAGCTACATTAGAGGTAGCTTTGCTAATTTTTATACGTGGTGAGACTTGTGAGATATTGCAGATGGGACATTTAGGCCTATTATGAAACGGAGGAGGATAAAGATGACCAGGAAGATCAAACTCTTCCGAGTTTCCAATTCGGCTTATTGATAATATAAAACCATCACAGTACTACAATTTGTGACATTATTTATAGATAATATAAAACCATCACAGTTCTACAATTTGTGACATTATTTTTTACCTTACTAATTACTAATTTGTGAAAAACACCACTTCGCAAGGCCACTGAATGCTCTCAGAGAGGGAACCAGACATAAAATAAATTCAAGAGCTTTCTAATCCCATGGAAGAAGGAATTGTTAGTTCAGAGTTAACTAGTACTAGAAGAGAAAAGAAAACACATTCTTGACAGATTATTAGTCTGAAATTATAGTGTCGTTTTCCTACTTGGACCCAAAGTCGTACGCCAAGCCGTAGAATAGAGTTGTCCAACAAAACTGAAAACTTTCCGAATCTAGAAGGACATGATACTTTCAAATAAAAACATCAAGACTTCAATGACGATATCAATTTAGTTTTTTATCTAATTAGATTAGATGTTTAACGTGCCTATATTAGTGTAGTCTAGCAGTTAAGACATATTTGACTACATTAAAAGCTGTTCTGAATTCTGAACGACAAAAAAGGAAATAAAACTTTCTCTGAACCAACATACGCAACAAGAAAGTGATGTACCTCAAAATAAATAGCTACTGCATTTTCCTCCAATCCAAACATGAAAAAGTTTCCAATATCACTTCCAAAGATTCAAACTTCAAAGCACATTCACACCCGAAAATCCAGTACGAACATATAAACATCAGAATTTGATTCTCAGCATATTAACTAGTAAAAAAATTCCATTCCTTGAAATATTACAACATTATTATCATCACCATTACCACATTCACTACAAAAAGAAGTCGATAATCAACTTCTATATAACTCTACAACAAGCAAAAACCTCAACAACAAAAAAAAGTTAAGAAATTGTACGCCATTGACTAGGAAGAGCTCACCAACCTATCCAGAGTCTCCCGAGCCAGGGCCAATTCGGGCTCGATCCTCAACGCGTCCTCGTACGCCTTCCTGGCCTCGGCCTCCATCTTCTTCACCTCGTAGCACTCTCCGAGCAAGCAAAAAGCCCTAGCATTCTCCAGACTAAGCTCCACCGCCCGATCCAAGTCCCCGATCGCCGATACGACCTTCCCACGGCAGCCCATCGCCATCTTCAGCTCGGCTCTCTTGAAGAACGCGTTGGAGCTTGATGTGGGGCTGAAACCCAGCGCTGGCGAGGAAGAATTCACGGAAAATGGAGGGGTATTGGTGGATGAACTCGATGGGGCGGGTGGGGATCATGAGTGAGGCTCTGTTGTCGGCGATGATGGAGATGGAGAGGGACTTGGAGGGCTCGATTTGATGAGGTTCTTGGTGTTGATTAAGGGAAGGAGACACTGATTTCATTCTGACAGTCCATAATTACTGAGCGGACCAATCAGGCAGATTTTATGTGCCGGATGAGAGACATTTTTTATATATATATATATATATATTAGGAAAAAGGCTAAACATTCAAGACTAAAGGCGGAAATATGACGGGTGCATTTAGAATTTTTTACAAAATGATTTTATTTTTTTGAATGAAAATGAAAATGAAAATATTTTTATTTTTATTTTGAAATTATTTTTGAAAATGCGTTTGGTAGTTTTATTTTGAAATTAATTTCAATTTTAAAAAAAAAATTAAAATTGTGTTTGGTGATTTAATTTTAAAAATATGTAATAATATTTAAAATTAAAATATATTAAATACATAATAATATTAAAATAAATACGAAAAGAACAACCTGAAATTGATTGTCGGAGTTGAATTGAGCTTACGTCTGTTGAGCCGAAGAAGAAGAAGACGAACTCTTGGCCTTATCTTCAGCTTGGGCTAAGAGGACAATGCCAAGCAACCTGTGAGTTCTTATTCGACGCAAAGATGAGACAAAGCAAGGGTAGAAATGAGGATTGGGTTTGGAGGGAAGAGAGAGAACAGAGTGAACATGTCTTGAAATGGTGGGAATGCGACAAATTGGTCCCAATTGAGGTGGAAGCCATTGGAGCGGAGATTGAAGCAACCAGAAGACAAGAGAAGCTGAGAAATTGAAGAATGATTTGGTTGGTGGGTTTTCTGGAGTGAATGTTTTACGCGGTCATCAATTCAATCCTTCATTGTTGTTGAGTCGTGGAGCGGAAAGAAGATGATGTTTGTTTGCCATGGTCACGGGCAGTCGGAGAAGAGAGAGAAGAACGAAGGGAGAAAATGAAAAAGAGAAATGAAAACGGATTTCATCCGTTTTCAGAAAAAATGAGTTTTTAGAAAAAATTTAAAAACGTTTTTGTTTTTAATTTTGGTACGGATTCTTTCTAAACACATTTTCATTTTCCGTTTCAATTTTTCTTTCTCAGAAAGCGTGAAAATCCTTTTCAAAAATGAAAACAAACGGGCCCGATATTTTCGTTCATCAAAAGAATCTAAAATCTTCCTTCCAAAAGGAAAAATAAAAATAATAAAAAATTTTAAGGTGATGATTGATTTATGAATTTAAAATCATAATTTATAATTTAAATTTTTTTATGAGGGAACGTAATCATAAATTAGTAAATTAGGCATAATCGTCACCTAAATGTGATCTGAACGCATCCAAAGGTCGAAATCATGATATTTATTATAGAGTCTGATTGTTTGAATTTCTCAAAAACCAATATCCAGCCTTGGATGAAGACACTAACGATCCCACGGTCACAAACCGAGGACATTATAATAAAGTTTGATTGTCTAATCTGTACAAATTTAAGGGTTATTCTTTCAGTGAGCGTAATTTTTTAGTTGAATTTGAGTTATAATTTGAGTTAAAGTTATAACTTGAATAAAGTTGAGTAAAGCTGAATAAAATTGGAACTTAAAATAACATTAATTTAAATAAAATTATAACTTGAGTTTAAATTTTTTCTGAATTTTGTTATAAAAGACCAACCCTAAATATCAAACGTCCGATCAAACACCAGAAAAAGACCCCCAGTAAATTAATTCATATTTCCATAGATCAAACGGTCTTAAACCATCTTAACTGTTGATGGGGTCCACCTGATAAGTTAAGTCTAAACTTCAAACCAAATCAAGTGAACAAGAACCGCAGGATCACGGGCAGCCACAATGATGTTATCACACCTACTCATCCAACGGCCCTAAAATCCTCTTAGTCACTGCCACAGCTCATATGTGATCTGAACGTTTTACTTCTCTTTCCAGACGAGAGAGAGAGAGAGCGCTTGCGTTAGCAATGGAGCAGAAAAGCTGACGCTGTACATTTTTCTCGGGGGAAAAAAAAGACTGAGAATCCACACGAGGAAAAAAAAAAAAGGCGAACGAAAGAAAAGTCATCTCAGAACCCTGGACACACTCTCTTGCATCTATCTGTCCGTGCGCTATTGATTCTGAATGTATGGATTATGGTGCGGATTTTTCGTTTTCGTTTTCTTTTTCTTTTTTTCTTTTGTCTTTTTTCGTTGAAGTTGTACTTTGTTTTAGCTGAATATAATCTGGGCTGAGGGGTTTCGATTGCTTTCTGATCCTTGCTGATTCTTGCTTAATTTGTTAAGTTATTTAGTGGGTTTTCCGTTTTTGTGCAATTCTTCTCATTGGTCGATTCGATTAGTTTTAGTAGTAAAGTCTCTGAAATTCTTGAAGTTGCGTAGATATACTGTATCGTTTATTTTTTTTAATTTTTTTAATTTTTTGAGTTTATGGAATTTTGGTCTAGATGGGTTTTTGTGTTTGAGCTTGATGATGATGAACGACTTTGATTTTGTTCTCACTTAGTGGGTCTCTTTGTTTTGAGCATTGACCTGCTTATTTTGTTTCCAATTATGCAAATTTGATCATATGCTTGAGAAGCCCTTGTACAATTAAGACATAATTTCGTCATAGTTACTTTAGCGCTTATGCTTCTTTTGGCTTATATTAGTGATCTGAAGAAGTAATTTTTAAGTAATCTACACACATATATTGTATAGATAAGAATTATAAACTAAATTTACTAGCTTGCAATGTGAAACTCCTGCCTTTGTACTAACCAGAAAAGAACAATAATTTATTGGTTTGGTTTTCGGGGTTTATTTCGAAAGAGTTATTCTAGTTATGGTTCTGCTGCAGCTCATATATGAAACAGAAAAAGGTTGTTGAAGCTTGTAGATCTTTTGGTGGCAAGGTGACCAGGTATTTGGTAAAACTCAATGTGAATAAAAAATAGGATTTGTTTTTTTCTCATTTATGTATGTTAGGAAAGAGAATTAGGGGATAAATACCGTGAGAGGTTGGAAAAGTTCATGCTTTCCAATCTATGCTTTCTCACCTTCTAATTTGGTTAGTGGACTTAGATGGATGTTTCCTCTCTGGAACCAAATAGTGAGACCCAAACTGATCAATACCCTTTGTTACCGGAGCGAATGGAAAGCCGTACTAGTCGTGAGCATATAATAGATGTAACTCAAAACGATGATGCTTCATCAAGCTCATCTCACGATGAGCAACCTTCGAGAATAAATGTTCCTCCTCCGCACGTTGATAGACCATTGGGCAGTACAAATGTCCCCACTTATCAAGCAGCATCCTCTTCAACAAACAGGCTAAACTCGAGGAATTCCACGTTTATGAGGAGAGGCGATGGATACAGTCGTCGCCGTAGGAGTCCTTTGAATTCTGGTTTATGGATTTCTGTTGAGCTAATTGTCACTGTGAGCCAGATTATAGCATCTATAGTTGTTTTGTCTTTGTCAAGAAATGAAAATCCACAAGCCCCGTTGTTTGCTTGGGTTGTCGGTTATGCATCTGGTTGTGTTGCAATGCTTCCTGTTTTGTACTGGCGTTATCGTAACCGCAACCAGGATACTCAACAAGAGTCAACTCGATCTCAGCAAGGATCTTCTTCACAAAGTAACCCTCCTGAACTAACATCTTATACAGCTATCTTAGTTAATCAAGCATCAGACGAAGAAAATAATCAAACTTCCGAAACAGCCACAAGGAACACTCAATCCGCAAGACCCTTAAGTACACGGTACGTTTGTCAGATTTGTTTTTCTTTTCTCATTTAACGTGCTTTTTTCTTTCAGATGTTGGTTGTTTGATCACGTGTTTTATCGTACTGACTGAATTCTCTATCACTATAAACCTGTTTGGGTTATTTACTCTATTATACCCTGCATTTTAAGCTTATTAAAAATATATACTATGTATTTTGGATGTTCTCAATATTTTACCCCTAGATTTCAATTTCATATAAAATTATGTTTTCTATGGTCCAACTGTTCATTTTGACAATGTAAATGATAACTTTACAAGTTGTGAGGTGCGGCGGTATAGAGTGGACAAGTTGATGATAGACTCTGAAGGGTAAAGTCAGTATTTAAGCGGTCAAAACTAGTAGTTTACCAAGAGAACCTAGAAATTTGATATAAAATTAAAATTCAAAAGTAAAATGTTGAGAACATCCAAAATTCTTGGCATTCTTTTTTTTTTTTTTTTTTTTAAAGCTTAAAATGCATGGCAAAAAATAGTAAATAACCCAATATTTTTTTAGGGGGCAGTGATCTTGGAATTACTTATCTGGACTATATATTGAAACCGGAAGTTTATATTTTTTAGACTCAATGGCTTAGTGGACCATTTCAAGATGGCATTGGATTGCTTCTTTGCTGTGTGGTTTGTTGTGGGTAACGTGTGGATTTTTGGAGGTCACTCTTCTCCATCTGATGCTCCTACATTGTATAGGTACTAATAACTAGCATTCATTCTTTACTTCTTACTGGGAAGAATGAGTCACTTAACTATGCATTGGTTTCCTTACAGGTTATGCATAGTGTTCCTTACCTTTAGTTGCATTGGATATGCCATGCCTTTTATACTATGTGCAACAATTTGTTGCTGCTTGCCTTGCATAATTTCTGTGCTTGGTATCCGGGAGGATCTTTCTCAAACAAGGGGAGCCACCGTTGATTTAATTAATTCCCTGCCAATATACAAGTTCAAGCTAAAGAAAAACGGAAATGGTAATGATCAGGAGCTTGATTCTGGAGTAGGCGAAGGTGGGATCTTGGCTGCAGGGACAGAAAAAGAGCGTGAAATATCAGGGGAAGATGCGGTGAGTAGCTATATTACCTTTTTTCCTTTGTGGTGTGAAATTTTAGCAAAATAGTAAGCAAATCATGTATTTAGACCATAAAAGGACCAGATTTAAGCAACTTAATATTTTCAACCAAGTAGCACTGAGCATAACAAATCTTATCTTGCGCTGGTTGCTAATATCAATTTTACAGTATTTGACAGTGTCGGATTATGCGGATTATTTTGGGAAAGTTTTATTGTAGAATATTTTGTTAGTTTCCTGATTCTTAGGAGATTTAGCTAGCTGTATATTCTGGTGGTTTATTTCCAGATTTTTAGGAGATTCTTTTGTTGATTCTTAGGCTCTCATATTTGTATTTATACCTCCTGTTGTAACCTAATTCGGTATCAATGAATAAGCTTTTCTCTCATTTGTTTTTCCTCATGGTATCAGAGCTTTAGGCTTATTCTTGAGATTTCTTCCGTGATAGTCTGGTCGAATTCCTTCTTCCATTCCATTCGTCCATTCTCTGTTCTTTCTGGTCGATCTCTTAACCATGTCTGAATTTGCGGAAACCACAGCAACATTGGACGCTCCAGTAACAGAGAGTGTAGTCGTTGTCCAGCCCGGAGACCTGCAAAATATTTAGGCAGCATATCGACTGAACGGAAAGAATTATTTGAAATGGTCACAGCTTGTTCGGACGTTCTTGAAGGGTCGGGAAAAATTAAGCCACTTACTAGGCACGGGTCCTTCGAAGGACGATCCAAAGTTTGCTGCGTGGGATGAACAAGATTCGATGGTGATGTCTTGGTTATGGAATTCGATGCTACCAGAGATAAGCGATACGTGCATGTTTCTCGGATCCACCAAGGAAATTTGGGATGCAATCCGACAAACATATTCCAAGGTCAATGATGCTGCTCAAATCTATGAAGTTAAGACAAAGATTCATGCAGCCAAACAAGGTACACGAACTGTCACAAAATATTCGAGTTTTTTACAAGGCATGTGGTAGGAAATGGACCACTATCAATGCATTCAGATGCGCTATAGTGAGGATGCAGCGATTTTAAAGTGATTTGTTGAGAAGGAACGTATCTATGACTTTCTTGCCGGTCTCAATGATGACTTTGATGCGGTCAGAGTGCAGATTTTGGGGAAACCAGAATTGCCGTCATTAAACGAAACCTTTTCGATTATCCGTGCAGAGGAAGGAAGACGAAGTGTTATGTTGGAGACAGATGGAGGAGACAGATCTGCCATGGTGTCCAAAGCTGTGAAGGCTAATGAAGGGAAGGAAACCATCCCTATTTCACCCTTTGTTCCAGCCAATCCACCATTTGTTCCTGCCAATCAACCCAAATCTGTCAATAGGGATAGGGACTCACTGTTTTGCACATACTGCAAAAAACACCGCCATACTAAGGACCGTTGCTGGAAGCTTCACGGGAGACCCAACCGGGCTGGTAATGACAGGGGACAAGCACATGTTGGGAGCACTCAATCACATGATGAAGGAGGTTCTGGTTCGCATGATGTGACACTAGGTTTTCACAAGGAAGGAATTGAAAAATTGAGAAGTTTGTTGGAGACACTTGAAAAACCTTCCATGACAAGTACGGGTGGTACATGTTCACTGGCGTTTTCAGGTATTTCTTCCTCTTCTTGTGCTATTAGTATCTCAGAAAAAATTTATCCACATACTTGGGTGATAGACTCCGGAGCCACCGACCATATGACTTACACCCCTAAATATTTCACGTCCTATACACCATGTTCCAGTCACCGAAAGATAACTATAGCCGATGGATCAGTTACTACCGTAGCCGGACAAGGAGACATTTATATCCATAATTCCCTCACCCTTAAAAATGTTCTTCATGTTCCAAAATTGTCGGCAAATTTGGTTTCTATTCGGAAACTCACCAAAGATTTCAATTGCAATGTAACGTTCTTTCCATCACATTGTGTGTTTCAAGAACAGGGCACGAAGAGGAAGACTGGACATGCTAGTGAGAGGGATGGTCTTTACTACCTGGAAAGTCGAAGTGGAAGAGCTAAAGTCGAAGATTCCCCATCTGCAACATTTCTTTCAGAGTCGGTCATGTCAAACAACAATAAAATTTGGCTTTATCATCGTCGTTTAGGTCATCCTTCATTCAGTGTTCTTAAGTTAATGTTTCCTTCATTGTTCAAAGGGGCCAATCTAGAGTCTTTTCATTGTAATGAGTGTGAACTTGCCAAGCACAAACGTGCCTCTTTTCCAATAAGTAATACAAAAACTCTCAATCCTTTTTATCTTATTCATAGTGATATTTGGGGACTCTCAACTGTTCCAAACATTTCTGGCGCTAAGTGGTTTGTTTCCTTCATCGATGATTGTACTCGAGTAACGTGGATATACTTGTTGAAAAATAAATCTGAAGTTGGTACCGTGTTTCCAAATTTTTCTAACATGATCAAGACACAATTTGATGTAAAAATCAAATGATTTCGTTCAGACAATGCCAAAGATTATTTCAATCAAATCCTTTCTCCATTTTTTCAAAGAGAGGGAATCATACACGAGTCTTCATGTGTTAGTACACCGCAGCAAAATGGGGTAGCCGAACAGAAAAATAGTCATCTCTTGGATGTTACTAGAACGTTGTTGTTTCATAAACATGTTCCTAAATCATACTGGGGGGAAGCAGTTCTAACTACTGCCCATCTTATCAACAGACTTCCTACGAGGGTTCTTAACTTCAAAAGTCCCATGGAGATTCTAATGAATTTTTTCCCTAACTTCCAGGCTTCCAATAACCTCATTCCCAGAATTTTTGGGAGCGTTGCCTTTGTTCATATTCATTCTTAAAACAGGGAGAAACTTGATCCACGTGCTCTTCGTTGTGTCTTTATCGGATATTCTTCTACCCAAAAGGGGTATAAGTGTTTCCATCCATCCACAAGAAAATTCTTTGTTACTGCTGATGTTACATTCGTTGAGAATGAGTCCTTCTTTCAACATACCTATCTTCAGGGGGAGAATTTAGTTGAAGATAGAGCGAGGGATTTGCTTCTTGACTTTCCATCTCAAGTCCCGTCCGTCCAATCCATTCCTCCCGAGTCTGTTCCATCTACCATTCCTCCCGAGTCTGTTCCTGTTCCAGTTCCACCGTCAGATGAGGGAATCCAAGACAATACTCAACCATTGAAGCAGTATTTCAGGAAGAAAGTTCGCGTTCCTCAATCTGTGCAGGTACAATCTCCTGTTAGTGCTACTGTTCAGATTCCCGAAATTGGTATCTTAACCACAGAAAGTCAGACATCATCAGCCGAACCTAGCCAACCCCTAGATAATCATGAAAAACCAGGTGATGAAGACCTACCCATTGCACTCAGAAAAGGAACTAGAGCTTGCACCAAACATCCACTATACCTATTCCTAACCTACCAAAACCTCTCCCAAAGTCATAGAGCCTTCCTAAGTAGTCTCCATACCATAACCATTCCAAGAAATTTATCTGAGGCACTAGGGGACAAGAAATGGGAGAATGCTATGAAAGTGGAGATGGAGGCACTTGTGAAGAATAATACGTGGGAGTTGGTCGAGTTGCCAAAAAGGGTTAAACAGTTGGATGTAGATGGGTGTTCACCGTAAAATACAAGTTGGATGGCTCAATTGAAAGATACAAAGCAAGGTTGGTTGCCAAAGGGTATACTCAAACCTATGGCATCGATTATCTTAAGACGTTTGCACCGGTTGCAAAGATGAGCACAGTGCGAGTCCTGTTGTCGTTGGCTGCAAATTTCGGATGGAATCTACAGCAATTTGATGTTAAAAATGCCTTTTTGCACAGAGATCTGGTGGAAGAGATATACATGGAAGTTCCTCCCGGGTTTGAATCAAAAGAAGGTATGGTATGTAAGCTGAAGAAGGCACTCTATGGGCTCAAGCAATCGCCAAGAGCTTGGTTTGGAAGACTCACCAAGATAATGATTGCCGCAGGATACAAGCAAAGCCAAGGTGACCATACCTTGTTTGTGAGACATTCGGAGTGACGACATTATTGGTGTATGTAGACGACATGATAGTAACGGGCAATGATACTAGAGAAATGCAAGAGTTAAAGCAGCGGCTTCTAAAGGAATTTGATATAAAGGAGCTTGGGAGATTAAAATACTTTCTTGGTATTGAGGTGGCTCACTCAAGCAAGGAATTTTCATTTCACAACAAAAGTATGTACTGGATTTGCTAAAGGAGACAGGGAAGCTAGGCTGTAAACCTATGGATACACCTATTGAGTTCAACCATGGACTATGTGAGGCACCTGAAGATTCGGCAGTAGATAAGAGTTCCTATCAGAGGCTTGTTGGGAGGCTGATTTATTTGACACACACAAGGCCAGATATTGGATTTGCTGTCAGTGTGGTAAGCAGATTCATGCACAACCCTAAGGAAATGCATCTCAAGGCGGTCCACAGAATTCTGCAATACTTGAAGGGCAACCCTGGGAAAGGTATTTTGTTCAAAAGAGGACAACGCAAGACCCTCGAAGCCTATACCGACGCGGATTATGTAGGATCATTAGACGATAGAAGGTCAACCTCGGGTTACTATACTTTTGTAGGAGGGAACCTTGTCACATGAAGAAGTAAAAAACAGAATGTGGTCGCAAGGTCAAGTGTGGAGTCAGAATTTAGATCAATGGCAGTGGGAATTTGTGAACTGTTGTGGTTGAAGATTAATACTGGACGACTTGAAGATAAAGTGGGAAGGACCAATGAGGTTGTACTGCGACAACAAATCAGCTATCAGTATAGCTCACAACCCCGTGCAACACGACAGGACGAAGCATATAGAAGTCGATAGGCACTTTATTAAGGAAAAACTCGAAAGTAGCTTAATTTGAACTCCGTTTGTTTCTTCGAAGGATCAATTGGCGGATGTTCTTACCAAGGGTCTGTCAAGTGCCATGTTTCAGAATATAATTAACAAGCTTGGAATGGAAGACATCCATTTACCAGCTTGAGGGGGAGTGTTGGATTATGTGGATTATTTTGGGAAATTTTTATTGTAGAATATTTTGTTAGTTTCTTGATTCTTAGGAGATTTAGCTAGCTGTATATTCTGGTGGTTTATTTCCAGATTTTTAGGAGATTCTTTTGTTGATTCTTAGGCTCTCATATTTGTATTTATACCTCCTGTTGTAACCTAATTCGGTGTCAATAAATAAGCTATTCATCTTATCTTGTGCTGGTTGCTAATATCAGTTTTACAGTATTTGACAGAGATAAGTGAATACCTCTTATGAGATGCCTCTGTTTAGCGGTTGCTGAATTTGAAAATCATAACTATTACTTGGATTTATGAATGCATTTTTTATAGGACCGGACGTGACCACAAGCTTGGCCTCACTTAGTAATCCTTTAATTTTTTTTATTTTTCGTTTGAAAAGAAGGGTAGAGATCTTGTTTCTCAAAATCTTGAGAAGATATTCTTTTCCTCTTAAAACATAAAAGAAAAGGTCAAAAATGAAAGTGTTACCAAACAAGGACCAAGTTAATTGTTTCATATGATGTGTAATAAGGCAAAAGATAAATAGCTAAAGGAGTACTATGATTATTATCGTGTGCTTATCTTCAATGTAGGTGTTATCATAACAAATAAGAATATGGGTTTTCTTCTTTTATCTATAAACCATCCTTGCAATGCAGAGTGCTAATGAGGATTGAGATTTCTTTATGGGTGATTGTTAAGTTTTATTTGTTGCCTATCAATTTGCTGCAGGTTTGTTGTATTTGCTTGGCAAGATATGCAGACAACGATGAGCTGCGTGAACTACCATGTATTCATGTATTCCATGTCGAATGCGTTGACAAATGGCTAAAAATCAATGCATCATGCCCTCTTTGTAAAACCGAACTCGGCGAGAGTAGCAGCACTTCGCCAGTGGCCAGAGACTCCAGCCAATAGGAGGACCAAGGAAAAGATTGGTGATGGTTAAAGCTGTCCCTGAATTTTCAAACACAGTAGAAAACTGCAAGCTAGGGGGGTTTAGTACTGCAACGGAAATTCTCCAGAAATCCCTGATGTATTGCAGAAAATGCAGATGCGACCGCTGTTCTCGGTAGTTCGGGCCATGGAATAAAAAGGGGAATATGCAGTTAAGTTGTATACTATCAAACCTTTTCTATGTACTTAAAGAGGTTGAATTCCTCCTCAACCCTCCGTTTTGACATTAATGGAGCTTTGTGAAAATAGGCAGACGTTACTCTTGTCATCGTTGGATGAACTTGGAGTCCTAGCAAGTGTACTATAATATTACTAGGGTGCTTTCTAAGATTTTTGATTCTCTATTGCTGGCTTATAATGAAAAATCGATTGTTTATTATTTTATCTACTAGAAATGGATATATTGTTGAGATTTTAGATTTTGAATTCTCTCGTTAGTCTCTAAAGGTTTTTCTTTTTTTATTTTTTCATTAAAAAAAAAAAGACATAATCGATTCAATGATGACTCGAGAATGAAAAAGGGTAAAGGAGGTCACTTTATAATTAAGTCTTTGAATAAACCAATCCAAGAAATCAGCGACAAAAATTAATCTTCGTCATCCTTCCTGCTGTTGAATACGTCTCAAACTTTTGACTTACCATAGAAAGTCGGTCTAAGGACGAAATTCTAGGAACTGTTAATCACCTTATAATTTTCGTGAAGTGAATGTTACACAAATTATGACCTCAGGATTCAAGTTTTCAATTCGAGTTAAAATATAACATTTTCTAAGAGCTTTTTACTGTAACAAAAAAAATTAAATATAACATTTTCTGTAAGTTTTTTACTATAAAAATTTAAAATTAAAAACTCAAATCAATAAAATGAACGAAACCTATAACATCCTCAAAAGAGAAATTCCAACTAATCGAATCCAACGTTAAATTCCATACATTTGAAAGAATTGCAGGACGACTTAATCTAAAGGTTTAAATAACACATCGGTTCACTGGTGCAAATTCCATGGCAAAATTTTCACATACTTTATGCTGTTTGTACATACCAATCAAGTAAATGAAATGAGCATAATACAACATGCTCCCGATATCTATGATGTGACCGGTTCTAGGACCATTAACTCGAAAAGAAAAATGAATTTTTTAGCTTTTCCATCAACCCTAGAAGCGCAATGAAAAGTGGATTATACACATTTGCGAAAGGAACACATTTTTGCAATTGGCGAGGTAGAACTGGGTTTCGAAGAAAATCTCATCTTATGATCAAAGGTAAAAATTGAATCAGCGTAACCCCGTCCTCTTCGATGAGCTGCAACCTCTCTTCCGAGTATATTTTTATGAGATGCGGCTAGAGAGATTCAATCAGGATCCACCATTCAGACAGTTGAATATGCAAATGCTTCAAATGAACATCCCAGTTCAACATCATGGTCGGATGGTAAGGTCTTTAAATGCCTCTAGTTTTCCGTTTGGTGCAAGGGGATCCACAGTTGGTGAGCTTTGCGAATGGTCAGCACTCCCATTTTCTGGGTTCTTACTTTGGTTGTATGCAGAGTTGGCCACAGCAGAGCTGAGTCTGCCCCCGAAGTATGTTGAGAAAGGAAAGTATTCGGCGCATCGCTCCTTCCATCCTACAAAAGAGAGATTGTTTCACCTCAGACGTGCCTAAATAGGTTTGATCAAATAAGCATAATTTTTAAATCCACCATCTTTCACTGAAACAAGAAAAAATATAAAGTTGACAGCAAAATGACAAATAGAATGTTCAAAATCTTCTCCCTTAAACAAATTCCAGACTTGACCCGGTTCAACGAACTTCCCTTAAAAGGAAATTAATGTGGACATTTAAAGTGCTGTCACGGAATAGTGATAGTGGGATTTTTGTACGTACTTAGAGCAGCATTTTGGTCAAGAACTGTTTCTAGGAGTTTGTGGACTGTAATGCAATCCTTGAGCTTCCATTCCTTGACTGGTCCAAGTGCTCCATTACTAACATGACAAAAACACGTTGAAGTTCAATATTTCTATTACAAGCACATAGGGCAACGTTGAAGTCGTGAAAGTACTATGCAAAAACAGAGAAGTTATTACGTTGCAACTGGATTGTTTGTTGATTCTTCAATCAACTTGACGGCCTCAGGTTTCTTTTCAGGTTGTAAAGCATAGAGCAATTCTGCAACTGCAGCTCTATGCATCAAGGAAGCTGCGGAAAACCAAAAAGTGGAAAAAAGGTAAGCCAAATGATGCTTAAAATAATGAGAGCAGCCCAGATATAAATGGCTACGGCTCAAAATCACCTTGATGTTTTTCTAAGAAAACCTTGTTTGCCTCTTTCAGAGATTTCTCATGCAATTGACTGGAGAGAGAATCAATGGAAACATTTAGTATGTTAGTTTAACTTCAACAACATATTCTAAGGCATTAAAGACGCAAAGTAGGAGTAGGGGAGGATGTAATTGTCGGAGAACCTTATTGCTGGGCGTTCTGCTTCCAAGACACTCCAAATGAGTTTCTCAGTATCAGTAACTGGAGCAGCCATTGAGTCCACTTTATGGAAGAATTTAATCTGTAGTTATGAAGTTCGAAAATCAGAATAAACCAACACGGAATAGACAGAACAACATAAACTGATTAAGATAAAGGGTTTTTGGCCTCGTGTCCTTTAACTTTTCAAGCGACGGTTTCGTCCTTAACGTTTTTTGCCATTTAGTCCCTAAACTCAATATTTTTGGTATTCGTGGTCCCAAGCACTGAAATGAACAGTGAATTTTTGAAATTTAGCAGAGGACCCACATGCCTACTTGAAATTTTACAAAGACGTGATCTGTAAAATGCATAATTTTAAGGGTTTGTGATTATTTTATAAAAGGAATGTGATTAGCTCAATTAAATTTTAAAGATCCATCATTAATTTTATGGTCAGGAACTGAAACTACCAAAAAAAAAAAACAAAATTAAGTTCAGGGACTAATTGGCCAAAAAAACATTTTTTACCTAAATTGTCACGATGCTAATACTTTAGGGACTAATAGATTAGCGCAAAAAGCCCAATATCTACAAGTACTCTGGCACATGAATAACAGAGATACATACCAAGCAGCGATGGGTATCTGGATGTTCGGCGTTCAATCTAAGTAGCTGCTTTACAGCCTACAGTAATATATATATATATATATGCATATATAAGAAGAAAAAAAAGTGGAACATCAATGCATGCAAATGGAAATTTAATACACACACACACACACACACATATAGGTATATGTATCAACTAAAAAAATGCCAAGGGTTACAATTTGTTATTTGTTTTCTGTTGCCTTAATAAAACCACAAAGCAACCAGGGCATCCGAAATTTAAACACAAGTTTACCTGGAAGGCAAGCAAAACCTTCTGCCTTCTCACATTCACTTCAAAAGAAAGGAAGTGTGTTTCTACTGAATCAGGGGAGTTCTTTTGGAGCAGCTTCAAGTACCTCGTGGCTTCTGCCAGAGGATCTTCAACCTGGATAAACACGTATAGATATGAGGGGCAATATTTCCCGGATGTAAGCCATACTATCCATTTGGTTCGCAGGTTGAAATTCGTAAGACTCCAACCTTTTTAATTTAAAGTGTAAAATATGAGCGAAGGCATTAAATTTGAACTAGGAACAAAATCTGAATATGTGTTTGGATAGCTGTTGAAAATAGGAGTTTGAACTGAAAAAATAAAGATCAAATTCTGAATTTAACCCGAATGGAGGGAGGGCTCAACTCAGAATTGAGAGAGGTTTGGATCATTTTCAAAATCTGAATTAAGCCCATTTATTCCCAAACATCAGTTTGGAATATGGACCTGATTCAAATTGCACCTTTTAGGTCCAAACCCATGAACAGTTTGGATGACAGACTTCAAAAAAATCTGCAAAAATCTCTAAGTTTGGAAATACAATGAAGTTAAAGTGAACCTGCAACAATTTTTCCCCATGTGGATCTGGATCAACGGGTTTGACAGTTCGTTTCCCAGTCTTAGATACGTTACTAGCACTGGATTCTTCATTTTTTCCTTCAGCCTCCTAAGAAAAATTTGCCAAATATTAGGATGAAAATCTATAAAGGAGAAAGGGACGACAAGCCACAGAAACAAAATACAATACTTTCTTTGCCCGAGCTTCTGCTTTTCTTTGTTTTTGCCTCAATTTCTTCTTTTGAGAAGGCGGCAACTTGGAAATATCATCATCTTCTTCAGCTGTCAACTTTGATGGGGAATCATGCAACCTTATGTAGCATCTGCAGATGAACATCCAACATCATTAACTAAGGCAGAACAAAAAAATTAAAAAAAATTAAAAAAGAAAAAAAGAAAAGAGAGAATTATCATCAAGCTATAAAGCGCCCATAAAGGAATATTTGATTGCTAATTAGCATTTCATCAGGAGTCATCAATTTAAAATATGGACCAAATATTAATGCTTCACCTGATTGCACCAACAGCTGCTTTGTGAAAGTATGAATGTGAATGCAACCGGTCTTGGAATTTAAGCATTTCAACATAGGTGCGTAAAGTCATTTTCCTTAAGCAATAAGAATGGAAGTCAAATTGATCTTCAGTAATATCAGCATAGTGCTTCTCCACAGATAGAAATTTCTTCAAAGCCCGTCCAAGATCACCTTGGCGGAAGTAACTTTCACCAGATGCTAGCTCATACCTTCAGTAGAATATACAGAAATACTTAAAAGCAGGCTAACAAAACACCAGCATTGACAAATAAATAATTCCAGCAGGTAAGAAGAGACACACCACATGCACTGCATGTCGTGAAGGTTGTTGTGCTGATCTCCATCTTTGGTGAACAACACTGCAGTTTTTTCACCTAAAGGAACCTGCAAAATCAAATAGTTTTTTAGAAATCAATTTATCTCCTAAAGGACAGAAAAGAGAGATAGTGAAACACAACGTGACACATATGACACGTTTAGAAGCCACGAGGAAAAAAAAAAAAAAAAAAAAAAAAAAAAAAAACCCCACAACAACAACAACAAGATCAATGATGAAAAAAGACGGCTTCAGTACCTGATCAGCCTGAAGCATACGCTTAACACATTCACTGTTTATGTAGCGATCTGCAAGATCCATACATCTAGCTTCATCTGCTAATGCAGCAGCAGCAGCCAAATCACCAGCGTGCTTCAAAATCCGGCTCTGTGAACATTTCAAAAAAGAAGCTACAGATAAGTACACTAAAAACAATAATAAATCATGAGAACATAATCCATCAAAGACCTCTGAAGGACTGCAAGAGGATCTTGATAGAAATTTGAAGTACTGTGACGAGCAACTCTTCCAAAAAAAATCAGAAATGTGACACCAAAATGATATTACAATATGTACCCATAGATGCATATATATGCAAAAACTCAGACAACTTGCATATACTAATATTGGAACATCAACTCCAATATTCGTATGAACATAACTATTACCAATAGTTTATCCTTGGTCAGGGCACCAGACCTTCAAAACCATAATAGAAGGAGCAGTGGATGCAATAATCTTAGTCTGTGGCATGAAAGAATACAAACAAAAGAAAAATCATTAACCTACCTTGGCAGAGTATAAATCAATCACAGTTGGAGTGTGCTCAATGGCCTCGTCAATTTTAGAAAGAGAAAGGTCATACTGTCCTCGTCTGTCATAATGCTGCATTCACACAGGTCTTCTAAGCAAAAACAAATTCCAAGAATATAAAAGGAGAAGAGTAATGGTGGCTAACCTGTGCTAACAAGAATAAGGCCCACATAAGAGTTGAAGGAGGTTCTTTGTCTTCCCTGCATATATAATAAACACAAAAACAGAACGAATCAACAAGAAATACCAAAAGGATTCTTCGCCATGAAACCGCACTGTTATTAAAATATTAATAGTAATAAAAAGAGACTTAATTCCACTTTATTGAAATTGCATTAAATTTCAATGAATAAATCGTAAGGAACTTGAAATTTCAATGGGGGCCTACAACACTACATTACAATAAAGCATTAGCATATCTTACCTTCCAGGGTATCGACCAGTTGTCCTAATTGAATGCTCCAACGCAAGAATAAGTTGTTCTAGAATATCAGCCTGAAAAACATTGCCAAAACATAAATATAAGAACCTATTGAACTGATATTTCCTTGCATCCATAAAAAAATATGCAAACTTGATTTATGGAACAATCAACAAGGATGAAGATTAACCTTGCCAGGATGATCGTACAAAGGAGAAAGGTCGGAGAATAATGAAGGAACTCCCTGAAAGCATAAAGAACATAAATCACCATTAAAAACAGAAAAGCAAAGGACTTGAGACCAATCAGAGTACTATGAAATAAACCACAAATACCTTGGTAAGAAGAGGCCTAATGTAATTGTCTGCTGCTTCACGAAATTTGTCACCTTGGAGAAAGTCCAGAGGTATTCTCTGAAACACCACAAGAGAGTTTCAATACGTCTTCTGTAAAGTTCGTCATTTTTTAAAGAAAGTAACGAGGCATCAACAAATAATAAAGACGATAGTGCTGAGAGTGATTCTGATGCTGATGATAACAACAGAAACAGTTGAAAGAAGGTAAATAAAAATTCCAGTCAAAACATGATTCACCTTATCATTTCACACCTAAGAATGCCCATACATAGGGTAGACTCCATATAGCTAAGCTCATGTCTAAAATAAGATGAAAAGAAATATGGGTGTTGAGCTATGAGAATTGACATAAGCACTTTAGAAGCCGGTATCCTTAGTTTCTAACATTTTGAGGTCTATCTCCACAGCTCAGAGTTCACTCAACCAGGTGATAGTTTACCTTGACAGCAGATGACCAATTGTATTGCTGCCTAAGCGATTTGTACAATTTATCTAACAGCTCAATTTGATCAGATGAATACTGGCTGTTTTCTGAATAGAGCCCGACGCATTTTTGAAGGCCTTCATAGTATCTGAAAGTTCACGGACCAAACATATTAGCTTACCTTATGCAAAACCCGGGCATGTGCCACATGCAATCAGTCATAATACTATATGCATCTACGTACATGCCCATGATTGCAGAAAAAATTGACAGCAATATTCAGCATCTTCAAAAATAGCCATAAATTTCAACATAAAAGCATCTTAAATCACCTGTAATTGTCAGGATTCATGGCAAGTAATGCCTTGTACAAAGTAGCACCTTCTTCAAAGCGACCAAGCTTTACCAAAAGAGAAACCTCTTGTTCTTTATAAGCTAATTTATCAACCTTGAAACACATGAAAATGAGATGATAAGTACTGAAGAATAAAGATCATCATGCTCAAACTCAACATAATTAAAAGAAAATATGTAGCAGAAGCTTACTATTTTCAACTCTTTCTTGTGCAATTCATCAAGAGCTCTCTCAAGAGAACCAGATTCTTCTAACAATGAAATCTGGATAAACAAATGACACGTCCAACTATCAGAATCATAAGAGCCAGAGAAATAACCAATTTTTTGCATCCACTAGTAAAAAAAATAGAACCATTTATTTATCCATAAAGTACAGACACACACACACACACACACACAAAGCTAGAGGAGTTATGCAAAACCAGAAAAAAAAATGATATTATTTTTGAGTTGTCTCAAGATCAACCAAACATATATAAAGTGTTCGCTTTAAAGTTGAAAAAAAAAATGATATTATTTCTTAGTTGTATCTAGATCAAGCAAACATATACAAAGGACAACAGATAAATAGAAATAAGACTCCAATCCAGATAAGTCCATAAAGGACAACAGAACCTACAACAATTAATAATTATAGTACGACTAAAAAATTCACCACTATGACCAACTGGTTCTCCACAGAGTCTCAATTGTTATCTAACAGAAATAGCCATATACAGAAGGTTCCAGTTACAATACCTTATACAGGAGCATTTCCCCATGTTCACAACGTTCATTATCAGGAGGGAAATCATCTTCCAGCGTTCCTTCATACGCTTCAAGAATTTCAACTGCTTTCAAAGCGCTAAGAAGAAAAAATAAAAAAATGCTTTAGTGTAGGCAACATAAACGTCAAATTAATCGCATAAAAGATAAGGCCAAAAAAAATATGGTTACATGCTAAAAAACTTGGGGAATTAAAAAGGTTAAGAGAACAAAAACTAACGAAAAGGAGACACTTTTAATTTTTTGAACAACTAATAGGACACCTATATTGCCACAAGTAAAAGAATAGAACCATAAATGTATTCTCCAAATTTCAGACGACGGTCAAAGCACAAACTTCTACTTATTGGATACTTTAATTAAAAAAGGCTTGACAATCTAAAATTCAATATGATTCATGATTGTTTAGTACTAGTACTGTATTAGAATAACTCATTCAGAGGGAATGATAATGAAAGGTAAGTAATAGGGGAAAAAGGAAAGCGCTAAGTAATAGGGGATAAGAAAAAAGCTAAGTAATAGTTTGATGATAAAAAGGATCAAATTATACTTTGAGTTTAAATGGTGGGCAACAGCAAAGCCAATCCAATTCATACGATGATTTGGTTTTAGAGTCAGGAGTTGTTGTCTTGTCTCAACAAAACCTGTCAAATCCCTCATTTGAGCCTGCAACAGGATGGATACACAGCCATCATTAGCTGAAACAACACAAGGAAAATAACATAACTAAGTAAAGAAATATACTAAAGAGAAGGCACTACAACAGAGACTGATAACGTCACAATTGACAAATATGATATTAAGATATATAGCTACAGCCTACATTTAACAAGTGAGATAGATAACTTTGAAACAGGAAAAGCTCGTTAGATATTTCTTTGTTTAAGCTTTATGTGACCATAACAGGAAAGATTAACATCAAGAAGGGGTGTACATGGTTAGTTTGGTTTGGCGAGGAAACCTACTAACTAAACAGAACAGTGGAATTTATTTGGTCGGTCTGATTTGAAGTTTGGAAGGAAAACCAAACTATACATAATCATTTTAAATGACATTTGGCCAGTTTTCACTCATAGGCCTAACAATTGTAGGCATTTGAAGTCATCATGTAAATTAAACTTTGAACTTAATTTATATACTTTATTCCACTTGTTGGATAACTATCTTAATTCAGGAAAGCCTAAAATCATACAAAGCCATTCTAAAACATGATAACGTATAAAAGGATCACAGTTATGAGACTATAAAAAAGATGATACATAATACAAATACTATGTAATATATACGTATATACACAGACATAAATAACAGTAATGAAGATATAAAAAAGATGATATGTAAGAAAATATTATATATATGTAACATATACATATATACACATACATACATATACGTACATACATACATGCACATATTAGGTGGTCGGTTTACTGGTGTCAAACTTTTAAAACTAATAACAAAAACGACAAAGAAAAGGGGGACCTCCAAGCCAATCAAACAGATCGATTAAAATTTAAAAGAAAAACTGATTAATTTGGCTTGTTAGATTGGTTCGGATTGGTCCGTTCAGTCTCATCAATTTGATCGATTTATTGAACACTCCTAACCAAGAACATACCTGTAAGAGTGACAGGTCCCTTAGGATTTCAATATTGTCTGGATCTATCCTCAGTGCATTTCTATAGCATTTGATCGCCTCCCTGTATTCTCTATCTGATCGATAAAGAAGACCATAAACATGCCAGCAGACATGACTTTTGAGGTCATTCTGCAAAAGACAAAGAAGCCTGACAGTAAATAAAAAGAAAGGTTTTGGAAACAGAACACAACAAAACAATTTAGTTAAACCCTAAAGATCCTCACCTTTAATCCTAGACGAACAAGTTCATACGCTTCAGATTTACGGTCCATGCAATTCAATGTCAACCCCTTCATTGATAATGTTTCTGACCAACATTGAAACACAAAAACATAAAATAAAAATAAAAATAAAAATAAAATCGTTTAGTTGAAAAAAAAAAAACCTAGTTGTAAAAAGGAATTCCAAAATTAAGATTAGCAATAACAGCAACAAATGAGCCTGCATAAATTTAAAACTCCAACGAACAATACGGCGCTACAATTAAATCTAAACCATATAAACTTGAATTTCACGGACTAGATATTATACAAAGTACAAACTAACTTTTTCATTTGTTAATAGTTTATTTAAGAAAAAATGAAGAGGTCCACATGATTAAAAATAAAATAAAATAACTGTTACAACGCCTTTGAGTTAATATGAGAAAAACGAGAACCAAATAACAAGAAGGGAAACAACACCTTTAATAAAAAAAAATATACACTGTGTAAGCCTCTTAGCTTATTTTGTAATACCAATGTTACAAATTGCATGAAGAGGAACATACCTCCATGGTCTGGAAACTTTTTTAATATGGTGTCTGCTGCTTTCAGACCCTTCTTATACTGTTTAGTTTCATATGATTTCTGCAATCAAGTATAATATTAATACGAAATTAAGACATTAAATCAAATTAAATCGATTGACTGCATGAATTAGCACAAAAGCGCTGAACTAAGCAGATAATTGATCTCTATCCTTTTGCACACAAAGAGCCACGTTTATGGACAAGATTAAAAAAAATTCTGGACAAATGAGTTTAACCGCAATTATCTTAATTGATCAAAAGTCAATGTCCAATTCATAGAAGTTTGAGATCAAAGCTAAGTGTTCAAACTATCAAAAAAAAAAAAAAAAAAAACCGTGAACTTGAATCAAGAAAATAGCCATAATGGCTTTGGATACCACATTGCATCAACTTACCAAAGAACGAATTCGAAAGAAGTTGCATTCCCTTAATCACTAACCAGTTTATGTTTCTACTTCTATATGCCTCTCCCTAGTCAAACACTTGATTCTAATAACCGATCCAATATCAGAGCTCAAAACTTTATCAATAAAATCATTAAAGAAATAGGAAAATCAAGCACTAAGAACTCTCGTAGTCCTTTCCCACTATGCATTTCCGGCATAATAACCAGAAACTGGATACAATTCGCCAAAGTAAACCCCACCAGTTGACTTAATCATCCATTTCCTCGTACAACCACACAACGACTAAAAAAGAGTCCCAATTTTCCCATTAAGATCGATTCTTCGAGCATTCAAGCAACAGAGAATAAGTAAACAATCACGACACGGAATCAAACAAAAGGAAAAACTAGGGTTTTTTTCTATTCAATTTTCGGCCAACGAAAGAGAAATATAAAATCGTAGTTGGATCTCGAAGCAATTGACAGTAGAAAGAAAAAGAGTAGGGAATCGGAGCTTACGACGATGAGCTTGAAGAGGTTGGCCTCTTTGGGAGGGAGAGAGGCACCCATTGTTGCAGAGGAAGAGAGAGAGCGAGAGAGTGAGTGAAATGAAAGTGAAAGTGAATGTAAAAGGGAAAGTGCGTCCGTGTGGAAACTGGAAGTGCTTTAGAAGAAGAAGAAGAAGAAGAAGAAGGGTTGCGATGAAAGAGGAGAGATAGGAGTTGTGGCGTTTATCTGCTGCAACCCTACTGTGAAGGAGACGCAAAAACAAAAACAATAAAGTCAGGAAAATAATAATATATATTTTTTAGAAAAATGATCTAAATTTGATTACTTGTTTTTTTTTCCTTTTTTTTTTTTAAGATTTAGAACGTGTCTTTTTTTTTTTTTTTTTTGTTAGAATCACAACTTAAATTTTTTTTTACAAATTTTTTTACTATTGTGAGTTGATATTTCTCCTGTGTCTATATCTATATCTACATATAAAAAGTGTTAATCCATATATAAAAAGTGTTAATGTGTACTTGTTATAGTGCACTTTTCTAATCAAAGTGATTAAAATTTTGTTTATTTCACTGATTTGAGTTTTCAATTTCAGTTTACTACAGTTAAAAGCTCTTAAAAACAGTCACATCTAATTTTTTTGTTACAATTAAAAACTCTCACATAAAGTCATGTATCAATTCGAATTGAAAACTCAAATCAACGAACTAAACGATGCCTAAACTACATCATTTTAATTGGTTTCTTTTGTCATAAAATTTATTTATTTCTTCATTTTAATTCTTTTTACCTTTTTCAAAATTTTATTTATTTATTTTTCCATCTTGGTTCCTTTCTTTCCTAAATTTATTTTCTCATTTTGGTCCTTTTTGACTCTCTTTTTATTTTTATCTTGAAATTTTACTTCTAATCTTGTGGTTCCTTTTGTCTTAATACTTATTTTTTTTTTTTAGTCTCTCTTTTTTTTTTCACTTTTTTAGGCTTCTTGCCCTTAAACTTTATTTTTTTCATTTTGATTCCTCTTTGGGATTTTATATTCAAATTTTATATACTTTTAATAATAACACAATAATTAAAACTTAACACACGGTTTACTCCACGTGCATTACACATAGGGTTCAACTAGTATAATAAGAGTAAGGGTGAACATTGAGTGGGTTGGGTGTGTTTTTAAAATTTTCAACCCACGCAATTATGTTTGGATTGGTTGATTTCAAATTTAAGCCACCGAATCAACCCAAAGTTTAAAATCAACTCACCCAATTAAAATTTAGGTGAATTGGGTTGGGGGACTTTATCCGGTTGGAACATAATATAGAATAAATAAATAAAGCTAATTATTCAACCTAAAATAAAAAAAATATATACGAAAAAAGTTAACTTTCATCATAATATTAGCACCAAAATTATCTCATAAGTTATAAACTAATAAAAGAATAAAATATATGGAAACAAGTTCAAATATATAAATTGTAGACAAACAAACAAACGATAATAAAAACTCATACAATATAAAATATAATAAGTTGTCAAGTAATTAATGTAAAATATAAGATAAATACTTATTATGAGATAGGAATATATATATATAGAGAGAGAGAGAGATTGGATGCCTTCGGGTTAAGAAAACTCAATCCAAACCCACATAATTAATAGTCGGATTGGATGAGGTTGGGTTAATGTATTGATCAGGTTGGTCGAATTCTTGTTATAATAGGTTAAATTTAGTGGGTTAATTGAGTTTGTTGAGTTTTTTATTTACTCTAACTTTTTAACTCAAATTCTCAATTTGAGTTAAGAAAATGATGTGCCTTCATTTTGCATGCGTGTGCTCAAGTAATAGCTTTTATTTCTCCTATTTTAAAATGTCGCTTTAAACTACAAGTCGTTGTATGTGGTGTTTATGTCGTTCAATTATAAACATGACATGCCGTTTGTTTTATAGATTTTCATGTCATTTGAAAACTAAAAGGCATCGTGTTAGTGTAATGAATATCAGAAAAATAGAGAATTTACTTTTAAGAATATATGAGTCGATACTCTTGATAAATATTTTATTGTTAGTATAATTATTTAATTAAAAAAATTATGAATAAAGAGTAACGAGTAAAAGTTTTGACACGTACACTTTCAAGAGATACAAATGTCGTTTTTGGTTTGAGAAATCTGATTGACGTTTGAAAACTAAAAGGCATCGTGTTAGTGTAATGAATATCAGAAAAATAGAGAATTTACTTTTAAGAATATATGAGTCGATACTCTTGATAAATATTTTATTGTTAGTATAATTATTTAATTAAAAAAATTATGAATAAAGAGTAACGAGTAAAAGTTTTGACACGTACACTTTCAAGAGATACAGATGTCGTTTTTGGTTTGAGAAATCTGATTGACGTTTGAAAACTAAAAGGCATCGTGTTAGTGTAATGAATATCAGAAAAATAGAAAATTTACTTTTAAGAATATATGAGTCGATACTCTTGATAAATATTTTATTGTTAGTATAATTATTTAATTAAAAAAATTATGAATAAAGAGTAACGAGTAAAAATCTTGACACGTACACTTTCAAGAGATACAGATGCCATTTTTGGTTTGAGAAATCTGATTGACGAAATTTCTCAAGTCTACCGAGGGTTGTTCATTGGAAATGGGTTAGCAATAACGTTGGTTGCATTTTTTAATGAAAATTGGAAATCGGAAAAAAATAAAAAGTCTTGATTTCAGGAAAGGCATTGGGGTTTTTGGTTTAATAAATGAGAAAATTACTGAAATTACTGTTAGAAGTGCATGAACTTAAAATTTTACTGGTTACTCTTGATTCATGCCTTTTTACCTAACTAATGTATTTAACAAATCCATTGCTTTTGGCTAAAGAACGTCTTGTCGTTTATGCGTACAGAAAGCAGTGGTTGAAGACATCTGTTTTCATTTTTGGTTTAAGACACCCATTGTCGTTTCATGTTCGATAAATATATTCTATGTTTACAAGACGTTCTTAAGAAATACGTAACATTCTTCGTAGGCTAGGAAGCAGACATTTTACAAAATTCTCATGCCAAGGTTAAAAGTTCACAGAGCAACTTGCCAATCAAGGGGCAAAACCTGAAAACAATGTCACGTGTTGTTTAACGACAGAAAACGTTGTCAAACACGCAGAAACGACATGTTGTTCCCTGTTTTTTTCCTTTCTTTTTATGTTCATTTCTCAAATTCTCGATAGATAAAAGCAACAAAAGCGTTACTACTTACCAAAGCTGGCAACTGGCATATCTCTTATATATATATATATATATAT